CCTTTTTAAAGTCGCTATTGTTTAACCAAATGTTAGAGAAATACGGTGCTTTCATGCTTCTTGTAAAATATTCAACATGTGATAGACAGCTTACTGTGCTGAATACATTTTATTGTCTCATCTGACGACTTTCAGCAAAAGCCCCTAACATGAATGTTGACACAGATACATAGACAAAAAACAACAACAATGACGACATGAATACATAGACCAAAAAAAAAACGAGTTTTTGCCAATTTTGCTTGCTTAGCGGCCTTACAAAAAGAAGAAAAATAAGCTGAAAAAACAATTTGAGATTAAATATTTTATGAATCAATACATGCAGAGAACTTGAATTATTTTTTCCCTTAAAAGCTACATTACAATTTATTTACATCAACTGGATATTGAAACTCTGAATTTGTCTTTAGGAAGAGAAACTCCGTTTGGCTATTTCATGTTCTGTGGTCGTAGATTTCATTGTCAGGCGTTGTGGATTCAATATCTGCAGCCCCTACTTTTTTACTCAGACCCTTTCCGATATATATTTTAAATCAACCTATACCAGGGGTCGGCAACCTTTTGAAGCGGAAGAGCCAAAAGTTACAATTTTCAAAATTTCCTTGGTTTTAAAGAGCCACTAACATTTTTTTTATTTCAAATATTTTTTTTTATTAAGATTATTAGTATTTGTGCAAGGAGCCGGAGAGCCGCATCTTGATATCAAAAGAGCCGCATGCGGCTCGCGAGCCGCAGGTTGCCGACCACTGACCTATACTTAAAAAAAAAACATTACTTAATTATGCCATATTTGTTTACATTTCCAAATAAAAATGGCAAGATTTAAAACAAAAACAAATCTAAACTGGATATAAAACATGAAGTACGTCCAACCTTTAATGAAGTCCTACAAAAATTACGAAATGCAGTTTTTAAAACCACACCACTTTTAATGACAGCAAACGATTTTCAAAAGAATGAGACGGCTCTTCTTGAGTGTTCGAAGAACGAGCTATTACAAAAGTATTTTAACAACGGCATTCATTCCATATATTGTTTCTGCACATTAACTTTGCTAAATTAACCTGCCGATTCATTAAGCAATAGAAAACAATTAAACATCTATTATTAACATATCTCTTGACAGCAACACTGTGTTTATGGAAAAAGTTTTTTTTTTTTTTTTTTTTTTTTTTTTTTTTTTTTTTTTTGTTGTGAGACAACTTTTATTTTGAATAATATGCAAATGACATGTTGAAAATCTGTAGACAATACATGTTTAAAAAAATTATATAGAAAGATCCAAGTCTTCTTGTACAAAAATGTATAGCTTTAGTATATAGCAACATGTAAATATTTTTATCGCAGCTAAATGAAAGCATAAGTTCCATCACAAGTAAAATTCTTTTTTTTTTTTTTTTTTTTTTTTTTAATACTTTTATTTTCAATTAAAACAAGTACATCAACATCAAATTTTTTAACATAATTTTGAACACCAAATGAAAACGAAAGGTTTTGCAAATGTACATAATGAATATTTACATGATGTCATGTATTTGATTATAAAAAAAAATTGCAAAGGATGACAGTAAAAGGGGTGAAGGTCAAATGAAAGTGTCAGAAGTCTGGGTGGGGAGAGGAAAGGAAATTTTTCAGAGAGGGTCAATGGGACAGTGAAGCATTTTCTATGTAGGGAAACAACTTAAGTTGACTAGTTGAAAGGGTGTTGTAGTGGTCGCATTGAGTTTTCAAAAGGTTGCAGTGTGAAAGATGAGGGGAAAGAGACAAGATTTAGAACTTTAAATAAGTTCTGGATATTGATGTTGCGGTGGGTGGTGGGGTCGTTGGAACAGTTAAAGGGATTGTGGGGTTATCATGTCTGGGGGTAAAGTGGATAGAGGGGGAGAGAGGAGGGGGTAGATTTTTTATTTATTTTTATTTTTATTAATTCAATTGTTTTAAACATTTAAATCAGTAATAATAATATATTTGATAGATTTTACGTAGCATCAAAGACATGAACAGTGAACATCAATTGCATATATAATAATCAAAGGGAAAAAAATAAAATGGCATAAGAACTAGATTAAAATAAGGTGTGCAAACTAGGTTTCTCTTCACTGCTTAGTTTAGTGTGCTGCGGAGTCAAAAGTTCACACTGTAGCCACCCATGGACAGAAATAGAAACGACTGTAGGAGAAGGGTCTCTGTAATCACGTACTGATCTATCATTCCAAAACTTTCCATGACATAAAATTGACCCTTGGCAATGAGGGCACGCTACCTTGAAATGTCCGCCAGTCCGGTTGAGTGTGGGGGGGGGGGGGGGGGAGTGTGTGTGTGTGTGTTGGGGGGGGGTTGAGGTGGGTATCTCTTTCTACCATTCAGGTTGTGCATTTTAAAACCCGGGAAACAGAAGACTGTTCTAATGTTAATTTACTTGGGGGCTGATCGAGTGATGTTTGGCTTGAGACTGTCTAAATTAAAATTAATACTTTATTTATTTCTTTCCTGTATATTTCTTTTTTTTTCTCAGTTAAGTGAGAGTTCCCAGTCTATGTCTTAGCTTTGCTTGAAATATTTCTTTTAACTCGATGTCCGTGTATTTTGTGAAAAAATATCTGACTTTATTCCTAATTTGCCATATAGTCGATCTATAAATAGCCATTGCTACTAGTCTGTTTTCGTCTTCTGTTCTTTGTCTAGTCGTGTTAATTAAATTAAGTGTGATTGCTTTATTTGTTGTGGCTGTTTGATTGGTGGTGTTTAATATTTTCGCAAGTGTTTGCTTTGTTTTCTGAACTAATATACAATCTAAATAAATGTGTTTCTCAGTTTCTTGTATATTTTGTTTACACGTTTGACATGTTATTTTAACATTTTGATTTGACTTTGTATTTCGTGAAACTGGAGTTGTGTTAAAAATCAGTCTGTATGCTATTTCCCTTTCTTTTGGTGTAATGCGTTTATTATGTAGGTTTCTAAATGTATCTTTAATGTCTATTATATTGTGTTCCCTGGCCCAACTAATTCTCGTGTATAAGGGTGTCGCTTGTTCTTTGATTAGGATGTCGTATATTTTTTTTGTGTCTTCCCCAATAATGCTTTTGTTTCCTTGGAATGTTGCTAGCGTTTCTTTATAAAAGCTGCCTATGTCATTTCCCCCATAATGTGGTGTTATGATGTTTAATTTTAAAATGCTCTTTATGTTTAACCCAATGTAGTATTGTGCTAATGGATGATAATGTGGTTCTATCCTTATTCTATCCAGGTGTTTTAATCGGAAGGATGGAAAAAGTTGAATAAACAATGCAACACAATCTCAGATGCAGAATGTAATCAAAAAATTTAAATTTTATTTTATAATATTCAAATCTTTGTAATCGTATAGTTGTTTTAAACTTACTATTTTGAACGTTTTAAATTATTTGGATAGATAAATGATCAATATGATAATTCAATATTTAAGACGTAAATTAACGTTAGCCATATAAAATTATTTTAGTGTGTGAAGTGTCACAGTAAATACGAGTAAAGTTGTGCTTTTAAACCTTAATAAAAAAAAAATTCAATACGACAGTTATCTGCCTTTTATAAAGTTCGTAGTTTGTTCCCTTGTATGATAACTTTGAAAACCGCTCATCCGACCAGTCAAGCATCGACACTAGTTATTCTTGGTATATTCAAAGTGGTTTTTAAGCCTGTTATCGTTTTGTTAGCCGTAATTAATCTTCCAATTTATTTTTAATGACTAATTAAACATCTAATTATATTAGAATTAGATAGTATTACGTTGTAATTGGAAATATATTCATGTAGAAAAGTGTCTGTATTAGAAACGAGTCGAAACTAAGCTACAATGCTTGATGACAGATATCCACATCGATATCTTGACGTAATGACGTCAGTAAGCGCTCGTAAAACAAAACAAATGCCACAGAAACAACACCTTAAATTACGTCAAATCACATACTAATGCTATAAAATGACGAATCAACGTTAAGTATAGCAGCCTATCTTTATACAATTACACAAATCACCACCGGATTAATAAATACCAACATGAATTGCTTCGAAATGAGTCGAAAGGCCCATTAAATATTTAAAAAGTCATATACGATGTCGTTCAGATAAATATGCTTAAAACAATCTGTTTGATTTGTTATCGGACTTTATAAAAGATTGGATAGTCGGTTTTAGTAATTTCGGCACCCAAGCAAATACAAAGAAAAAAGCTAAAAATAGTTTAGTTGTTTACATTTAGTCACAGAAAACGTACATAGACCTTGACATATGGTTTAAAAAAATTGTTTAAATGTTTTGTTGTGAAAGTTTTGAGTTCTAATGACTAGAAAGTGGTGTTTTTAGAAGATTGATCAACGAATTTCTGCACGCCCAATTAATGCTTGTCTTACGAAAGTGAAAGTTCAGGTTATTATTAAGGCTTGATGAAAATTAATATAAAAATGCTGCCTTAAACACGCACAGAATAATTCAGGGTCTTTACATTAATTGCTTTTATTTCATTGATTTTTTTAAAATATTAAATGTTTGGAATTTGTGTAAGCTTAAGTTTTTTTTAACCGCCGCTACAAAGCAAAATTGACAACAACAAAAAAAATAAATAAAAAAAAAACAACACAATAAACAAAAATAAAGTACAAAAAAAAATAAACTAGTAAACAAAATATTTTTATCCATGTCAAGAAAAATTATGGAAGGATTCTTGTCAACTTTTTGATGTCCATTACGTCAAAGCACCTTATGAATTACTATAAAATGACGAGCAGTGTATCAACACACTGTACTAGAGGACAGCAACCTACTATTATATAATTAACCACACACTATACCAGAGGACAGCAACCTACTGTTATATAATTAACCACACACTATACTAGAGGACAGCAACCTACTGTTATATAATTAACCACACACTATACTAGAGGACAGCAACCTACTGTTATATAATTAACCACTGCGTCACCACCTTACTAATTAAAAACACATGCAGTACTCACCTATGTACGCATGTAGTACGGCATGCACGAGGTGTGTTCGTCCCATTTCTCAACCAGCACACGTGTAACCCAGAACACACGTGTAAACAAAATGTTTTAGCTCAGGCAATATTCCAAGGAAACCTGGTTTCTAAATCAGATCGGCTTCACACTTTGGCTGTGGGGTTACATCCAAACACACCAAATCAAACATTTTTTAACCAACCGAAATTTGCCCTACGATGAGGTAAAACTAATTAAAAACTACAAAAACTCATTAATTTTATCATCGAGACAATGGCACAATTTAAGTCCTCTGAAGAAGAAAAATATCACAGTGTGTTATATCACAGTATTAAATCCAGGTCAATTTGATTTTAATTCACGGAAATATAGATCGAGAAAACATAAATTTTGATTTAACCGAACACATTCTTGTATGTATCAAGCGTATGTGGACACTTAGCACGTGAGCACTTCACTGAATGACACTGTGAGCACTAAGGTGATGTTACACTCTACTGTGGGGTGACACCGTGTACTGTGTGCTCAAATCGTGCACCACTTAGATCACGAGTGAGTAAACCACACAACGGGAAGACTCTCAACATGCAGCCAGAGAAATTTTCACGGTGAAAAATATCGGCACGCGAGAAATTTTTGCCTGGTACAACAGACGCCGGTGATGGGGAGAGGGGTGGGTGGTTGACGGGTTAGGAGGGAGGGGTGGGGGTGGGTGGGGGTTAAACAGCGACATCGTGAGCTGGAGCAACTAGTGGCGTTTGATTCTCGGGGGAGCGAGGGAGGGGCGCGGGTACCGGGGCGTCAGGTACCGTCTAATTCGGCGGATAATGAAATTTTTTGTTTAACGCTGGCGCGGGTTGGGCTATAGGCACGGGTGATGGCGGGTTGTGTTTGTTTAATAGCCACGTGACTAGATGGGGTGGGGTGGGGGACGGGGTTGTGTTTATAATCGGGTTGTTTATAAACAACTCGGCGTGTGGCTGGACGGCACGTGTCAGGTCAGTACTCAGCCTAGACCCAGCCTTACCACCCCCAACCCCATTAAACCACAGATACACCCACACCACCCCCAACCCCATTAAACCACATATACACCCACTCCACCCCCAACCCAATTAAACCCTATATACACCCACACCACCCCCAACCCCATTAAACCACACACACACACACACTCCACCTACAACCCCCTTCACCAATCTAATCCCCACCGCTTACCAGCCCGTCACCCCTCTGATGAAGAGATGGTTCCCTAATACTACTTCTCCCCCTCACACACACACACACACACATCTTTACTATGTTTGTAATCTCCAGTTATAAACTATAAGCTTAGTATACACTCAAATTTTAAAAATATAGTTTCAAGTTATATCCTTAGCTAATCTCAAGTTAAAATGTAGTATAATCTCAAGTTATAATCTTAACTAATTTCAAGTTAAAATCTTATTAAATCCTCCATTATAATGTAAGTAAAATCTTAAGTTTAAATCTCATATTATCTCTATAAGCCAGACACTGTTCAGGGAGCCAACACTCAAAATGAAAGTAAAAAAACACTGCCATCAAACGTGTAAAAAATTGCTAATTTTCTTACTTGATTGCTTGCTAATTAGCACCCAACTATCGGCAGCTGGTTGAAGCTTATCATTGGTAAGGCATATGCATTTTCTAGCCCAAAATAAGGTGATAGTTTGATGAGAATACTACTAACACAGGTAGAATGAAGCCCATGTAGAATTTCTATGAAACCCTGACGTAGGAAGTTAAACGTTCAACACTCAACCATTTTTTTTTAAGTTTTATGTTTTAGCAAGTAAAATGACTATGTGTAGGCCTACGGAGTCAGTTCTCAGCTTGTATGTGTGGGCTACATCAAAACGCAGGCTTCCTCTAACTGCTGATTCTTCTGAATGTGGGCCGTTTCTAAAAGTGGCACGCTTTTGATTGTTGACAAAATGTTTCCCATTGTTTCTGAAGATGGGCCGTTTCTAACTTTGGCCTGCTTTTAAATGCGGGCCATTTCTAACAACGGGCCAAATTTGACTGCAAACGACCGTAATGTATGGAAAGTGTATCTAAATGTTTGGGGGTTAGAACACAGAGGATTATACTCAGTAAACAACAGCATTGGAGATAATGCTAGTAGGGGAGATAATCAGTTATACAGCTATTGTGTATATATAATAGATTATCACCCTTTATATAGTTTATGGTTAAATACATAAAACGTTTACAAAGTGTATATGTAGGTATTTAAATGTCAGTATTTTTTAAAAATTGAATCTTTATATACTATACACGCTGGTGAACAGATCACGGCATGACGTGAAAACAGGACAGAGGACGTGGCTTATATTCATGTCAGTCTGGGCTGACTGCTTTAGCAATGTATGACTAAGAGGTTACGTAGTTACTCACATACAAAACTTGTCTGTTTAAAAAGCCAACACACAAACACACACACAAACACACAAACATACACATATACACACCCATCAATCATTAGCCTACACTTCGATGCATGCAAACCTTTCACCGCCATCTATGTTACTGATATCAAGAACAAATATCATTCAACTTTAGTTGAATCTATAAACATATTATAGTAGTATATTTAGTTTTATAAGGGTCAGATGTATTAAGAAATAACACATATTTTCTGCTCCATAAATAAATCATTGGAAGTAAAATAATAGTCACACACATCTGATCACTTCAATGTTTTTTTGTAAACACGTGGTTTTCATCCGACCACTTTGGTAAAACAATCCGTGGAGTATCACTGTAAGCCAATTAGTCACGTGATGCGTGATTAATGAACAGCGACCCTGACCTTGAAGCTGAACTTTGACACACATCCGCCAATCATCTGGATGACCCCGCCTGCCACGGTCAGGTAAAAGCTGATGTTTGGGGTCACGGTCATCATCATCATCACGGGAATGGTGTCAAGGACGTAGAGGTCGATCAGGAACAGAGTGCACCCTACCTCAGCTAGCAGACCTGCACATGAGAATAAATATAAATCACCTAGGAAACAAGAATACAAATCTAGTAGAACAGACAATAAATGACGTCATTCAACACATATGTACAAGACAACGTCACCGTTTGTTGTGTGCTGTAGGGGGGGGGGGTGACGACGACGTCGGTGACGACACATAGGACACAAAAGATAGATGTTTTATTTTTAGCCATACACAATCTCACTTTCTCTCAGATATTCTTGCACCCCCACCCCCTTCTTGCTACCCCCTTCCCACTGCTAAGCCTACATAGTGGTGTATCCTCTCCCAGAGTGTGCCCTATCCACCTCAGCTACTCTAAGCAGTGTTTCTTCCAGACTTTTTTCTCCGGGGGGGGGGGGGGGGCACTTGAAATATTCGGGGGGGGGGGGGGGGGGAAGGGGGACGACGGTAGACTTTCTTCGGGGGGGGGGGGGGAGACACTGTTAAAAGTATATATTTTCGAAGCCCCCCCCCCCCCCCGAAGAGATGCCTGGAAGAAACTCTGACTGTAAGGATTGCCTTCTGTTTTAGTGATTGCCTTTATGTTACATATTTTCCGACAAACATATTTGTAATGTGTGGTGCTTGTTCAAGATTCACTAGACTTTTTTTGTTGATATCTAGTCAACTGCCATAGTTCTCTAAAACACGGGTACGTGAATACTGAATGTGTGTATACATATAAACCAGAAGTACGCCGCGTCCGCGTAGGGCTACACATTGGTCGACGTGTAGACAGCTCAACTCTCATGTTGGTGGTCTGGGTTCGAATCCTGGCGGTACGCAATTCGTGCACAAAGGAGAGTCATTGAACTATACAAAACTTGCAATACAATTAAAATTAGAATTAACTTGGCATTTTTGACATAACGTTCATCTTTCTATGGATAAACATAAACCATATAATGCCAAATAAAAAGCCAATGTTTTACACTTCATCGTTTTTGTATGGGCATACACTAGTTATACTATGGCTAACCTACTGTCTCTGGATCGTGAATAGATCAATCGTTTAGTGTAAACAGTTACACTAGAGTTATGGACATATATTATGAGATGATAAATAACTATTATGCCATTATATTATTGCAGTAATTGTAGACAACACAAATGATATAAGTACGTCTAATCTAACACCACACATGATATAGGTATGTATCTAGCACTAATTAGCTAACACAGGTAAATTAGAACAAAGTGATGACTCAACTCACCTCCCAAGGTCGCGAGCAACACGCAGATTTTTGGTATCGCTGTCATGCACTCACTGACTCTACTGCAGCAGTCAGCAAACATCATGATGTTGGCCAGGATGAAACACATCCCAGCCATGCCACAGGACGCTCCCAGTGTTGCCCACATGGCTGTAGCTATAGCTAGCGGTTGAAAGGTCAGGGTCAAAGGTTAAGGTCAACGAACAATAAGAGGTTAATTTTGAAAATAAGCAAATAATTTAGAAAAAAAAGCACAACCGATTTATATTTACTGTCATGAAAAATTAAGGGTGTCGTTTTTGTTGCTATTACTTCATTATATACTTGACATGTATATAAATCAACAGAAAATATTATAAGTACCCAGCAAAAACCCAGTAAAATCTAAACCAACTTTAGATTTATTAACCCTAATTTCTAATTTATATCTGCCAGTATCAAGAGGCAATGATAGCAAACAGGTACGCTAGACTTGACTAGTGTGTATATAATGTACGTTTCATTCATCATAGAATGTGCTAATTCAACTTTAATAGTTCCACAACACGAAGAAGAGATAAATAATTCTATGATACACCATTGTAAGGAGAGGAAAATAAACTACTGGTATCTTTGCAAATGCCACATTATATTTATACAGTTCTATGACTGACGCAACTAAATAAAAATATTTGAATTTACTGGCGCAATGCTACGTCTTGTCATATAGTTCCTTGACAGACGAAAGTAAAAGGACAGATTTCAACTTGATCCTCTTTTCCATAACACATGGGGCAGATGAAGTAGAGTTCATCTGTTTCTGTGACCTCTGCATATGACTGGATAGTGTGGTCAGCACTATGCCTAGCCACCTTTACATTCCTAACCTGAGTTGGGTACCCATCCGAGCTGGGTGGACTCTACTGTCTTGAACCTGGCTTCGACCTCAAGACTTTCGAGTTCGCAGTCTAGTGCTCTACCCTTAGTCCATTCCGTTCAATGGATTTCAACTTACTGGCGTCATATCCGCTGCTGTAGCTACCTTTGGCAGCGAAGTGGACGTCGACCTTGGTGAAGTAGGCGGTGACGGTCAGCCATTTGCTGGTCAAGAGACCGGACAGTACCAGACAGAAAGCCAGACCAAACAGTACCCAGCTTGTTGTAAGTCTGCCTAGATGTTCTCCCATAGCGGCTGATGGTATACAGTACACAAATAGTTTAAAAAACAGTATACGAATAGTTTACAAATAGTATAAGATTAGTTTACAAACAGTATACAAAAGTTTACAAACAGTAGTCGAATAATTTACAAAAAGTATTCCTAAGGTTTGCAAACAGTATACAACAAAGAACAAACTAGATGATTATATCAACAAAGAACAAACTAGATGATTATATCAACAAACTATCAAATCAACACACTGTTAGATCAACACAATAACGTACTTTCCTGCTAGCGAATTTACTGAACACCCTAAATCAAAATGAAAATTATTAACCAAACCTTTCCGACACACTTAGATAATTAGTTGCTTGACAATTATTTTTTTTTGATTGGTTGTCGAGAAATCGATAGTTTAAAAGTATCGATCTCTTAATGCATAATGGACGTGTAACTAATTGGAGACCTTAACGGTCACATGACCAGAAGACCTGGCTACTACCAGCATACGACAATACCGGACTGTACGTTACGTTAATCCAGCCAATCACCTGATCAACTAGGTTACTTGATCAGAGATTAGCTCCGAAATCGGGACAATGGAGCAGATTTTACCTAATGGAAAATATTGGGTTAACAACCCAATCTTTGCACTAATCTCTGAACATATCCCTACAATTACCTACAACGTCGTCCCGCCCTCGGGAGAAATGATCCGTTAAAGACATAGATAATCATCTCATCCCCCCCCCCACATACACACCCCCTCCCCATAGGTCTATAACAAGACAATTATTGTTCGTGGGTATGACAAAATAATTTCAACTCTGGGGGATCGGTAAATGTTTTGACACAGCCGCCGCACCAAAAGAAAATAGTACAGAGACAGTTGTAAACTAACATCAGTTTAAACGGTAGATTAAACCGATTTCATATGATGACTACAAACAAATTTAGTATTTCATTCAGCTAATAGATTATTATTTGAGCTAAATTAAAATTATAATTCTGAGACGAATATGATATAAAAATCTCATACACTTTTACATATTATAAATTAGTATGTCGATTATTTCAAACATAATAAACCAATCTCATACATACGTGTTATTAACATTGAATTTCACGTTATTTTCTAGTCCTAATATATGAAAGCCCATGTGCGCACTTCTCTCTCTCTCTCTCTCTTTCTCTCTCTCTCTCTCTCTCTCTCTGTCCGCAAAATATTTTCACAGGCTATCACATCAGAATCTTCAGCGATATATGGAGAACTTGATACGGACTTTTGTTGAAAATAATATGTTAGATGTTTTAAATGTATAAACACAATTTTATTTAAAGAAGAAAAATAAAAAAAAATAAAGGCATATTCGAATGTAGAAAAATCGTTTTAATTATGCAACCGGAGGAGTGTTTATATTTATGAAAAAGAACGCACGAAACAATGACGTCACTAATGTTTACACTAAGGAAAGAGCACAGATTTAATAACGTCATCTTCCGAATTTAGAATATAAAGAAATGAACTATTTCATTCAAATTTGATTTAGATGTACGTACGCTATGAAATGTGTACAATACGATTTTCCCGGCCTTAACTTATAAAATTTACTTTATCTATTTGGATTCTAGATATAGATATTCTAGATATAGATATTCTAGATATTCTAGATCTAGATATTATTTTTGTAGGCACGAAGGCCTTTTTTCACATTGGCCGTTTTAAAATAAACAAATAAAACAACATTTCAATAACAGCATTTGAAAAAAAGCAATTGCATAGTAACGACATAGCAGTAACATAGCACTAAAATGTGGAATAAAGAAATAATATTACATAGTTATAATGCAAAGTGAGATAAAAAAAATAAAATAGATGAATGAGAAATGTTTCAATGAGTCAGTTAGAGAGGTCATTAAATAATTGTTGTTTTAGTTTAGATTTGAATAGATTTTCAGATCTAGAAAGCTTTATTTTATTAGGAAGATTGTTCCACAAATTAGAACCAGAGTAGGCGAAGCTATGTTTTTGGAAAAAAAGTTGTATATGTGAACGGTAAATTAAGACGACGATTTAATTTTATGTTAAAAGAAAATAGGTCTGATAAGTAAGAGGGGGCTGTTTCGTGGAATATTTTATATAAAAAAATTGATTTAGTATATATTATCTTTTTATTTAATGGAAGTATTTTAGTTGTAATAAAAGAATCAAGACTACTAGACAAGCCGGTACACCAGTTTTATAGTCCTTTTTTGTAATGATAGAAGAGGACGCTGCTTAGTTATAATTTTTCTAATAGGTATTCGTCGTCTATGTTATTTTAAACAAGTATAAACATAGACGGTACATAAAACAAAGCCCCTTTTTTCATAATCTTAAGAATGTTTCGTTCCAATGCTTATGATCAATAAAATGTTTCTTTTCCTAAGTTTCCGATAATGAATTGATTAAAACCTAAATTACAATTCATTACGTTACTCACTTTCCGTAGGTATATACATATACATTTTCTACCCTTTCAAAGTAATTCATACACAAATAAAGGAAAACTAAGAATAAAAATCATTAAGATTTTATAATACTGTCCCTTGGATTAAGGGATCCAAAATTTTGGTAATTTGAAAATTGAGTAATACATAAACTTTGAAGACCTATACTTCAAATACTATCAAATACTTATAATGTCAAGGGTTAATAAATATGTTTAAATACAAATCAATACACATTATTTACAATATTTTTCAAAAACTCTATAAGGTTTTATTACAGCTTGTTAAAATTTGTATACCAGAGTAACGTTTTGCTATTAGTAGTAAAATAAGAAACAAAGTATTGACTGGAAACATAAAGCAACAAATATGTTAAATTATCTCCCCTAGACAGCGCATCATTAAAAAAAACACAATCGGATAGAAAGAGACAGTACTGAAATTGTGAAATCGCGAAAAAATCTAAACCGAGATTTTGATACATTTTGACGTTTTTTTTTTATTATCAGTTTCCTTTATAAATTACTAATTTCCCACTTACTAATGCACACTGTTTACGTCCATTTGAAGTGCAATTGTCTATTCTAATTGCGTTTATTAACCCGTCATTTCTGGATGGATGAATGGATGGATGAATGAATGTGTGTCCGCAGCTTTAAGTCGTATCTCCTCCTCAACGAAGCAATATCGAGGACTAGTTCCAAAGCAATTATGTTAAGCAAGTTACGAGGATGAACATAGGTCATAAAAATTACGGGTTTCTTTCATGGATTTCCCGGAAAAGCCAAAAAACCTCGGAAAAAAATGCAGTTTTTGGCCCATATCTCTGCAACCAGACCACTTAGCGACTTGAAACATGTACCAATCGATTCCTGTCATAATTTAGAACAATATTGCCGAAGAAAGTTTTCAAAAATATCCTTTCGTTCGGTCACAACATTTTTTGTTAATTAATTAAAATTTGGACCGAATTAGTAGGCATTTTTATCCAAACACACCACACGCGTCATCACGTTCAATAGCTGCACCATCACGTTCAATGGCTGCGACATCACGTTCGGTAGCTAGGCGCGCAATGGTTTTTAGTCATATAACTCTATTGTAAATAAAACATGTATTTTATCCAATGGTTTTACTAACCCTGCTTTTGATTTACGCTACGACAGAGCTATTTTTAGATAACATAAGGAAATTGCGCTAAAATTGTCACTAGACTTTTTAATTACCTTGTTTTCACTCTATTTTTTTCTATTAGTACGGCGACCCAGCCGAGTCTGATTTGTTTTAGTTCTGCCATATTTTCCTCTGTAATCAACCTCGGTGAAGATCTAACGATAATTTTATCATCCTTCATGTTGAGCAGTGACTTCTGTACGAAGACTACTTTCATTTTAGTTACCGTCGTTTGAGTGAGAGTTGTTAAAGTTGGCTGCCTCTAGTTGTTGTCATGGTGACTAACGATTTGACACTAAGGGGAGGTAACAAGTTCTTCTTATCTTTTTATTGTCGTCTGTAAACTCTCGTCATGAACGGCTGCTTTCGTGGGGGCCGGATGATTAGGGGGAGGGGGGTAGGGAGAGGGGGGGGGGTAATCGTCTTTCGCGAGCAGCGATAGTGTTTTAAAGCAAAATATTTTCAGTCGCAGCATTGCATTGGTATTATCGACTTGACGAATTTTGAATTACTGTAAAGTATAATTAAGGGAGGGAAGTAGTACTTTCTTGAATTCCGCGGTATTTTTACAGTTGTTGCTCTTTGACTGTAAATCGGAAGTAGGTAAATGAATAATTAAGACAATTTTTTGAGTTTAACCCCTTTTCCTTGAAACTGATCAACAAATCTTATAGGCCTACATTAGAAAAAAAAAATTATAATAGAAAGGTTCTTAATAAATTTTCCTATTTTTTTTACAACTACCTAAAGGTTTTAATTCATTTTTAATATTTAATTTATACATGTAACAAATTGTATTCCAAAAAAAAAAAAAATCCCAATTTAAAATACAAAACAAAAAAAAACTGAAATTTTTTAAATTATATATTTTGATCCTAGCGAAAGGCATAATTAAAAATATAAGGGTTTAATATTTCATTTATAGGCCCCACAGTTCGTGATCAGTTTCATCTTCTTATCGTACCCAATGACTCTATCATGAGTATCGAATACTTTTAAGCGAAATTCGACACTAGCCAATAATGATTTATCCAGTTGTTATTGTGATGTTTAAAGAAATTTTTTTCTCTGAATAATTCAGGTACAATGAAGTAACAAACGAATTTACAGACCAAAAGACCAAATTATTCTTATTACTGTCGAAATGTAGGCTATGTTTTAAAAGCTGAAATTGCTTTATATCATAAAACATAATATAGTATGTTTCATTATTAAATTATATTAAATTATAATCAAGTACAAAAGTAGATCATAATTACCCCATATAAAATTAATACTATGATTTTATTCTCTGTTTAACTGGGATTAATTGAGTCGACATCTCCCCTCCCCTCTCAATAAAAACAATAAGTATACTATGAAATTATGTAATAATATGCTTGTAATGATACAGAGAGAGAGACTTTTGATAATTGATACAAAATCCTAACCAACTATAAAATAATGCATACACTAAACTATTATTAGAATGTTTTATGTAATTATTGATTTCAATTGTGTGTCAATGTCACTTAGAAAATTAAAGCTACCATTCAGGTAGGCAGACATTATGGTGAATGAAGTAGACTTTACCCATTTCTGTGACCTCGGGATATAAGGAAATTGTGTGGTCAGTGTTATGCCCATCCTTCTTGTTTTTCATTACATTAATTAGGTTAATA